AAAGATGCTTCTTCGTTCATCTTCTTTTTCTCTTTCTTTCTCTTTTCATTTTGTAATGGTTGCTTAAACTCTTTGTAGTTAGGGATTGTGGATCTGAAATGGAAGTGTTGAATTGATTTTGGATCTAAACTTTGAGTGCTGGATTGGATAGAGTAATTGATTCTATTTTTCAAGTAGTTGTTGAATGGAAATTTGATTAAGTAATTACAGAGGAACTTTTATCAATAGAAGTTGAACTTGTTTCTCAGATCTGAATCAATTACTAATGCAACATTTAATTGAACCAGATCTAAGGAATTAGAATGATTAAATTGAATGTTAGATTCATTGAGTTAAGGAATTAACCTTTGATTAATATATTGTGAAACTGATTGTCATTCCATCTAAGTACTTGCAAGTTCAGAACTTTATTGAATCAACACTGAAGTTTTGGTGAAACAAGTCCCTAACTATGTTTTCTACATATGTTAAATACATATTTTCATGATCTTTGTTCTGTTCTGTTTTTTGAAGTTTAATATTTGTTGCTTTTGCTTCCAAACTTCAACTGGATTTCGTTAGGCTCAACTAATTGTGGATTTGTGAAGTGATATTTGAGAATTCTATTCCCTAAGGACGATATTTGGGACTCAAACATAGTTCTAAAAATTTTATAACTTACTACAATAACACTAGTACACTTGCTAGTCAAAGTTACTTCTGTTGAGAAGGTGACAGCAAGACATGATGAGACAGAAGAGTGAGGGAAAGGACTTAGAGTTCTATTGTGATGGGAATGGGATGATGTAGTTCCAAGATCGAGTGTGTATTTCCTAAGTTGATGAGTTGAAGCGAATTATACTTTAAGAGGCGCATAAAAGCAAAATGAGTTTCCATCTAGGTGCAACCAAGATGTATTAGAATCTTCGTAAGAATTTCTAGTGAAATAGAATGAAGAAGGATGTGGCTGAGTATGTGGCTGAGTATGTATCCAAATGCCTAACTTGTCAAAAGGCGAAGGTGAAACACCAGCGTCCACCTGAGTTGTTGCAACCTCTGGAGATCCTTGTTAGAAATAGGATAGCATTTCCATGGATTTTGTTTTTGGTTTGCCAAGCACTAGAAACAATCATAATTCTACTTGGGTGATAGTGGATCAATTGATCAAGGCTGCACATTTCCTTCCAATCAACATGAAGTACAAATTAGAAAGACTGGCAGATATGTATGTGAGGGAGATAGTCAATCAGCATGGAGTGCCGACTAGTGTGGTATCCAACAGAGATCCGAGGTTTACTTCAAGATTTTGGGAGAGTGTTCAACGAGTGCTGGGTACTAAGTTGAAGCATAGTTCAGCCTATCATCCGCAGATTGATGGTCAGACCGAGAAGACCATTCAATTCATGGAAGATTTGTTGAGAGCTTGTGTGATTGAGTAGCAGGGAACTTGGGAAGAATGCCTACCACTGGTAGAGTTTACATACAAAAATAGCTTTCATACTAGTATTGGAATGGCGCCGTTTGAGGCTTTGTATGGGAGGAATTGTAGAACTCCCTTGTGTTGGTACAAGACTAGAGAGGCAACTCTGTGTGCACCGGGCATTGTTCAGAAGCAAAATGAGCAGATCAAGATGATTAGAGAGAAGATAACAGTTGCACAAGATCGGTAAAAGAGCTACTTCAATAGGAGGAGGAAACCATTAGAGTTTCAGGTGGGTGACATATGTTTTTGAAGGTCTCACCTGTGACCAGAGTCGGAAGAGCCCTGAAATCCAAGAAGTTGTCTCCTAAATTCATTGGGTCATTCGAAGTACTGAGTAGAATAGGTCTTGCAGCATACTAATTAGCATTACCTTCAAACCTCTCAAACCTACATCTAGTGTTTCATGTATGGCAACTCAAGAAATATGTGTCAGATCCTTCTCACGTGATTGCCTTGACCCAGTTCAAGTGAGGGAGGACTTGTCCTATGATGTATATCCAATGAAGATTACAAATCACCTTGTCAAACAGCTGAGGGGTAAGGAGATCTCGTTGGTGAAAGTGATATGGAGTGCAAATGATGATGGAGATGCCACATGGGAGACTGAGAGTATGATGAGAGAATTGTATCCTAAGTTATTTGTATGACTTGTTGAATTTTGGGAACGAAATTTCCTAAAAGAGGGAAGAATTGTAATGCCCTGAGTTTTGTAATTCTTTTATGATAATTATACATGTGTATTTTTCATTTATATTGGTGATGTGGATGTGTATATCTATGTATATACCTTTATTGTGTTTGAATATGAATGTTGACTTGTGATTGGATTGAAAATGCTTGAGGATATAGGTTGATATGCTGTTGTAGAGACATTCTCGCTGTAGCGAGAAGGTCTTGGGCAGTTGGCGTATCTCTGTTACATTCTCGCTGTAGTGAGAAGGCAACACAGAGGGATAGTTTTCTAGGCTTAGTCTCGCTATAGTAAGAGGGCCTTGCTGTAACGAGATTATGCACAAGATGAGGTGCATAATTGTCTGATATTTTCGCTGTAGCGAGAAAGGGTCTCGCTGCAGTGAGAGATACCTCGCTGCAACGAGAATATCGCAACTCTTGGGGTATTTGAGGGGTTTAGGGTTTAAGAAAACATAATTCCCACTTTTCCCTTCATCTTTCCTTCTATTCTCTCGATCCCTTACCTGTTTTCAATGATAAAATTGTTTCCAAGGCCATTTGTACTCTAGATTGAAGGTTAGGGATGTTTTTTGGATATTTGGAGGTAAGTTCCATGAGTCAGGGTTTTTGGTTTTCACTCTTTCTTTATTCTTCTTAATTTCTCACAGAGTTCTTCATGTATTTAGGACGAAAACCGTGTGAGGGGACTTTCTACCATTGATTTTATCATGGATCTTCAATTCGAGGTAAGGGGGACTCTACCCTTTCTCTTTGGGTTTAAAATTCGTTTATATTATTAGGTATTGGAATGTGATTGAGATAGAACGTAGGTAAATGTGTGTTTAGATGGGAATTTCATGCTGAGCATAATGTGGTAGGTTTTGGATAATGTATGTGATGAAAATAGTTGAATGTGTGTATATATGCCATGTTTGAGAATGAATGTTGTGAGATGAATGAGAATGTGGATGAAAGTGTGTAAATGGCATATTGATTGTGATTGTGATTTTGTTTGTCTTTGAAATGATTGATAACTATGAATGGTTACAGCAATAAACTAGGGGTGTGGAAGAAAAGGGCGATAGGAATATCTTAGAGAAAAAGATTATGGTGGTGACACCAACAGTGAGCATGGGTGCACTATAGGCCACACACTCTTCTCCTGACTTGGCCTTTGACCAATACCTTTGCTAAGGAGCCTGTGACCGTACACGTTTTATCCTTGAGGCAGGGGCTAACCGGTGACCATCCATGGTATGAAACTAAGTAAGTCGCTTAGGTTGAAGGCATCAGGAAACTGTAATCATAGTGTCATAATGAGTGTGGCTAACATGCAGTGAGCGCACGTGTGTGTGAAAAATGATTGATAGTGCAGTGAGCGCACCTATGTATGAATTGATGTGCAAATATGCACGTGTTGTTGGAAAGAATAAATTAATGTCGTTAAAATGTGATTTTATTATATTAAAGGTTGTTATGAGATAGGCAAGGTGATTTCTATATTTGTGTGTGATAGCGTAGATGACTCTCTCTTACATTTATTTTTTAGGTGACCAAGGTGATCAACACCAAGCTCAATGACTTAGAAAGTTGTTTTCAAAATTTGTGATGTATTAAATAGGTCTTGTAGCATTTACTTGATTCAAATTTGTAACCCATCCTATTTTTTGAAATACTTCATTAAAACTATGCGTTTGAAGTTATTAGAAATGAAATTTTTATTTTCCCTCTCAAATTGTGAAAATATTTTATTTTGAAATACATTGAAATAAAGTAAGTTGTTACACAGCTAAGTTAAAGTAAAAATTTAAATTTTCAGGAATACAGGGTGAGAAATTTTGGGGTGTTACAAATGTACTATCATATTTCTATTCATGTTGGTACAAAAACTTGTTCGTATGCAAGTATACCCATCAAAAAGTAATAAAGGATTCTAAAATAAATTTCTAAAATATTGTCTCACAAGGATTGTTTTCAAGCACTAAGAATTTCTCAATTTAATTATTTGAACTTAAAGGATATGAAATTAAATAAAAAAAATTCAAATATGAAGGTAATAAAAAGAATTAAAACAATTCAACCTCTAACAATAAATTAATCGAGAAGAACTTAGAGCATATGATTTCAACTTTACACTTCTCTATGTTTACTTTTATGTTAATTCAATTTCTGTTTTCTTATGATTGACAGTCACTCATACTAAATATGTTAACATTCAATGGTCATGCAATGTTAATAATTTTTTCCCTACGTTATTACCCTTAATATTCATGCAAGATAAATGAAAGAGAAAGCATAAAAAGCCTATGAGCTAATAACAATTGAAAGAGAAAAACTAAGTTTGATTCACCTAATCCTTTGTCTCGTTTTTACCTATAGATCCATTAACTATATTTGGTACGATCGCCTACAATATAATTGATTATAATATATTTAAGGGTTGTCAATTTTGAATAGAGCAATAGAATAAATATCAATCAAAAAAGGAAATATGAAATTATCAATGATCACAAATTTCTCATAGAGCCATACAAAAGATCTGTCATCGGCCTAACTATGGAATTAGTTAAACATAACATAATAGAAAGTCAAAACAATAATAAACTATTAGATAATAGGAATAAAATAGAAAATGGCTAATTTAATATGTTAGCTTGTTATCTTTCTGTTATTACTAATTAGTTGTATTGTTAGCTTTCTTTCGATTACTGTTACTAATAATTTATTAGAGGCTTCCTATATAAAGTTCTCTCCCTGTAAACATAAAATTACTCCAATATAAATTCCTTTATGGTATCAAAGCACTCCTTGGGAGGGCTCTGTCACGATCATCTTCTTCCGCTAGCATTCATCTCTGTTTCTTATCATGGCTGCACCTGAAAAATCAATCAAAGAAAATGTTTCATCCAAAGATGAAGATCAATCACAAAACCCTACGAGTCCGTATTATCTCCATCCAGGAGAAAACCCAGCCTCCATTATCTCTGACCCTCAGCTCAATGGAGTCAATTATCATTCGTGGAGCAAGAACTTCAAGAGAGCGTTACTATCGAAGAATAAATACAAATTTGTCGATGGATCTATCAAGGAACCCGACAAGAAAGATCCACTTTGGGACGCTTGGGAAAGATGCAACAATACTATCGTATCTTGGATTATCAAGACTCTCCCACCAGAAATTGCACAAAGCGTTATATACATAGATAATGCCCAAGAACTGTGGGAGGACTTCAAAGATCGCTTTTCGAAGGGAGACCATTTCAGAGTTTCTGATCTTCTGCAGGATCTTCATTCTATCAGACAAGGGGATCGAGGAATTTCTACATACTACACTAATCTGAAAACTTTATGGGAGGAATTGGAGGTTTTGAGACCTCTTCCATCTTGCACCTGTTCTATAAAATGTTCATGTGATCTCATGAAGACAGTGAAGAAGTATAAGGATTATGAATATGTGATATGTTTCTTGAAGGGACTAAACGATCAATACAGTCATGTAAGAAGCCAAATCCTCATGATGGAAGAGCTTCCATTAATAAAGAAAGCTTTCCCATTACTGATACAGCAAGAAAGGCAACACGTAGGAGCAATAGAGTCAAGAGTTCTTGCCACTGCCACAGATCCAAATTTTGGCTGGAGAGGTTCTTCAACAGGCAGAGGAGGAAATCAAGGTAGTCGAGGGAGAGGTAGATCAAATTCAAGAGGAGTAAATGGAGGAAATATCAAGGTGTGCAGTTTCTGTGGGAAGGAAAGGCACACAGTGGAAACGTGCTACTGCAAGCATGGTTTTCCACCAAACTTCAAGTTCAAAAACAGATCTACCAACCCTTCTGTTAATTCCTTAACCTCTGAGCAAAACAACAATAGTTAAGAATCTATTGGCCAAAGCAATGAGCAATATGATATTCTCAGAAATCTCACACCAGAACACTATGCACAAATCATTGAAATGGTCAAGAAGACTGACATTCAAGGCCAAACGCACACCATTAACCAGGTTTCTCATAATACTCAAAATAGGGATCACACCCATCAACAAAAGCTAGGTAATCTTCTTGACCCCAGTGTTTGGATCTTAGACACTAGGGCCACCGATCATGTGTCAAATTCCTTGAATAATTATGTTACCTATCATTCCATAGAACCTATTCAAGACAGTCTTCCTAATGGTGTTGTTACACATGCTTATTTCTCTGGAACTGTTTCTTTCACTAATGATTTTTATCTGAACAATGTTCTTTGCATTCCAGAATTTCAATTCAACCTCATCTCTGTTAAGAAAATCACTGATACATTAAATTGCGTTTTTAATTTTTGTCAAATTCTCTTGTGTCATACAGGATATGACTTCTTCGAGGATGATTGGTCTAGCTAAAGTAAACAAGAATTTATACATACTACAAGAACCAAATAAGCCTGTTGTACCTACTATTTCTGCTGTTAATTCTTTTGATAATAATGTACTCAATAAACATACTAGTTTTGATTTGTGGCACTTTAGGTTAGGCCACCCTTCTACTAAGGTTTTACATCATGTATGTCAACAATTTCCTTATGTACATTCTGACTCTACCATGATATGTGACTATTGCCATTTAGCAAAACAATCTAAATTGCCTTTTTCCTGTTAGTAACACTAAAACTGTTGCTTGCTTTGATCTCATACACATGGACATTTGGGGTCCCATATCTGTTACATCAATGCATGGTCATAGATACTTCCTCACTGTCATTGATGACTACTCTAGACATGTCTGGATTTTCCTCATGAAATCTAAACTTGAAACTAGAAATTTAATTGATGAATTCATTAATTTTGTTTACACTCAATTTGGTAAGAAAATTAAATGTATAAGGAGTGATAATGGGGCTGAATTTGTCACGCACCCTGCCTTTTCTAAATATGGAATAATTCATCAAACATCTTACGTTGAAACTCCACAACAGAATTCTGTTGTGGAGAGGAAACATAGACATATACTTAACATTACAAGAGCTTTGTTATTTCATTCTCATATGCCTAAAATTTTCTAGAGTTTTGCTGTTATGCATGCTGTCCACTTGATCAACAGACTTCCTTCTCCTGTTCTACATGGTAAATGCCCTTTCCAAATCTTACACAATGAATTGCCCACTTTATTAAATTTAAAGGTTTTTGGCAGTTTATGTTATGTTTCCACCTTAACTCAAAATAGGAATAAGCTTGATCCTAGGGCCAAAAAGTGTATTTTTCTTGGATTTAAAAATGGGACCAAGGGTTACATTGTCATGGATATCAATACTAGGCAAATTTTTGTTAGTAGAAATGTGATTTTTTATGAGAACATTTTTCCTTTTAAACCACACACTTCTGACACTACTGTTAAACTCACCGAGGCTTCCTCCTTTAATTTCCAAATAGATGATCCTAATATTCCTTCCACACATGTTTCTTTTCCTGATTCTATTACTGCTCAGAATCTGCCACCTGTCAATGCTGATGAACAACAAGTCAGGAGATCCACTAGAGTTCGGAACCCACCTGCTTACCTATCAGATTATCATTGCAGTCTTCACACTACTAGTTTTGCTAACAACAATTCAGTCAAATATCCCCTGCAATCTGTCCTTTCTTATGGTTCCCTCAATCAGAAAGATCTCAATTATATTCTCTCTATTTCCACTCATTCTGAACCAACTTCATATCAACAAGCTGTCAAGGATGAAAAGTGGATCAAGGCTATGCAAAATGAACTCCAAGCTTTGGCTGAGAATAAGACTTGGTCCATTGTTTCCCTTCCTCCTGGCAAATCTCCTATTGGTTCCAAATGGGTATATAAAGTAAAGTATAGGTCTGATGGTTCCATTGAGAGACATAAGGACAGATTAGTGGCAAAAGGCTACACGCAAATAGAAGGCTTAGACTACTTTGATACTTTTGCACTTGTGGCTAAATTAGGAATAGTTAGACTTCTTTTGGCTATAGCGTCTTCCCAAAACTGACATTTACACCAATTAGACATAAATAATGCCTTCTTACATGGTGATTTAGATGAAGATATATACATGGAAATACCACAAGGTCTCACTTCTCCTACTCCTAATTCTGTTTGCAAACTTCACAAATCTCTCTATGGCTTGAAACAAGCCAGTAGGAAATGGTTTGCCAAGCTGTCCTCTTATTTACACAACCTTGGTTATCATCAATCTTTTCATGATCACTCTCTTTTTACTAAATCCACCAACGATCATTTTACTGCTATTTTAGTATATGTTGATGACTTAATTTTAGCTGGAAATGACACTTCTGAAATTCAATTGGTTAAACACAAATTAGACACTCAATTCAAAATTAAAGACTTAGGTTCCCTAAAATATTTCCTTGGGTTAGAGGTTGCAAGATCTCATCTTGGCATCACTCTGTCTCACAGGAAATATGTTTTAGATCTCCTTGCTGACACTGGTTATCTTGCAGCCAAGCCTGCTCCTACTCCTATGGTCAAGCCACATAAGGTCAAAACAGCTGATGAAGAACCTTATCAAGATGATGCAGGGTATAGGAGACTCATTGGAAAGCTTCTCTACTTAACTACAACCAGACCTAACATTTCTTTTGCTGTCCAGCAGCTAGTCAGTTCATGTCTTCCCCTACAAACTTTCATCATAAGTCAACAGTAAGAGTTCTGAGATATCTCAAAGGAGCACCAGGACAAGGCCTATTCTATCCCACTTCTTCTACATTACAGCTTAAAGCATTTAGTGATTCAGATTGGGAAACTTGTTCAGAGACTCGAAGATCCATCACCGGCTACTGCATCTTCTTAGGAGACTCTCTAATTTCCTGGAAATCCAAGAAGCAATCCACTACCTCCAGATCATCGTCTGAAGCTGAGTACAGGGCTCTTTCTTCCATTGTGTGTGAACTGCAATGGTTGACATATATTCTGCAAGATATGAAAATTCCCTTCCTTAGTCCAGCATTATTGTATTGTGATAGTCAACCTGCTCGACATATTACATCCAATGTTGTTTTTCATGAACGCATGAAACACATTGACATTGATTGTCATGTTGTTAGGGAGAAGCTTCAAGCCAAATTATTTCATCTTTTGCCTATCACAAGTTCTGAACAAACAGTTGACATCATGACTAAAGCTCTTGAGCCTTCCTCCTTCTCTTATTTGGTTTCCAAGCTGGGAGTCATTAATATTTACTCCTCAGCTTGGGGGGAAGTATTAGATAATAGGAATAAAATAGAAAATGGCTAATTTAATATGTTAGCTTGTTATCTTTCTGTTATTACTAATTAGTTGTATTGTTAGCTTTCTTTCGATTACTGTTACTAATAGTTTATTAGAGGCTTCCTATATAAAGTTCTCTCCCTGTAAACATAAAATTATTCCAATATAAATTCCTTTATAAACCAATCCACAATTATTCAAAAATTAAATGTAAGTTAGAGAAATCTTTAGTGGGGAAGAAACGAAGAAAGCTCTTGATCCCAAAACCCGCTTCCAAAGCTCCAATAGACGTCAACAGCTAGCCAAAACTAAGATTGAAAATGTCAAAAGGATGTGAAATGATGCGTAAGTCATTGCCCATGAAGTTACTTTAATAGAGTTTCAGAACTTTAATATTTCTTCAAAATTAGATTTCTCGCAAGTAAGTATGATCGTGCAAAGCCATAAGCACAACCGTGTAAGTGGCTCAAAGCACCTTCATATTGACTGCTAGGGTATGAGAGTCCTAACTACAATCAAAACCTATTTTCTATTCAATTTAGTTTCAAAATGCACCTAAAACTCAATTATAATCTTTTATGTTAAACTGTTTAATTAATATAATAATTAGTGTAAAATTTTAATAAAATAATAATCATATATATTATAAAAAATATGTTAAAATACAAATTTATCTCTCATTAATAAATTTGAGATGTGTAATAGTTTATAATGAGAATGAACATCTAATATCTAATATAAGAGTGAAAAAATACGACAAGTAATTTTTTTAATACTGTTGTATCATAATTGAACAACATAGATTATTTGTGGAAAAACTAATTTTTATCACCTCCATTGAGAATCTGGAAAATTGGACTGAATTGACCAAGTGTACTTTGTACTATATGTTCTCACTAATGAAAAATTTCCTGTGACATAATATCATCCTCCTCAAGTTTATGTTCTGTGTGTTAGGATGTAAAGATTTTAAAACTATTACTATAAATATACGAGGTAAAATCGACCAAAGAATCTTTTATACTAATATGGCTCTACATATTCATGCTAAAAAATTATTATTATTATTTTAAATAAATATATTTTAATTTAATAATTTTAAAATAAATAATATAAAATATAAATTAGTATAAAATTAATACATTAATCATACATTTTATATCATTAAATGATATATCATTCTCTTTGTTTAAAATTAAAAAAAAATTATTCTTTCCTTTTTTCTCCTCTAAAATTTTCATTCCTTAAGCTACTACCCCAGGATAAATGATATTAAATAGAAATATAAATAAATATGTAAAATAAAAATATATATTATTTATTTAAATAAAATCATCTGATAAGTTTAAGTAATTTTAAATTAAACACACAATCACTTCAGATAAAACAAATTTCAAACTTATAATAATAAGAAAATAGGAGGTGAATTCTAAGAAAAATGAAAAATGTAGTATAGTAATACTGTTGATAATCTTGTCTTGTATCATGTGAGGTGATCAGTAATGCATTGTTTATTGGTGTCAAAGAGTAGTGTCCCAAGTCTTGTCAATATTTAAAAATTCACTTATGAGTCTCCTAAAAAAATTGATTATCTGTGGATTATTCTCTTCAATTGATGTCACCATCCACCATATTTGTCCCTTAATTTGTTTGGAAGCATATTTGAATATGCTTTAAATTCAGACAAATAGTAGAACCATACGTGTGTTCATTAAAATGTATAGAAAATTATTATATTTAAATATGGCAAATAATTAACCTCTTTTTTAAATTATTTTCACTGAATTATATCTTGTACATTCAAATTATAATAATATAATATTAAATTTTATTAAATAATATATTTTTATATTTAACAGTTAGATTTAAAATTGCACACTCTGAAAATCTCAATCCTTTATCAATCTCAAACTCTAATGAACTTCGTACTGCAACTCTCAGATTTAATTCAAAGTATTTCATAATTTTAGTTCATTTTAGAAACAAATTTATAATAAGAATTTTTTTATATTTAAATAAAAATTGTTAACATCAGCTTCAATGTTTAAAGGTTAAAATAAATAACTAATAATAATACTAATAAAATTATTAAAAAATATTTATTATACTTTTATAACTTTAATATAATAAATATATTAGGGATAAATCTACTTGCAATCAAATTTGGGAGTAATTATAAAAAAAACTTTGAGAGAGAGATTTGAAGAGAATTCACATTTGGTAACAGTACCATTGATATTTCTATCTTTGTATATGTGCTGATTATTTTAACTAATCCTTTATTGAAAAATTGTTGCGTTAAAAATTTTAAGTTAAAAACTTTGCTGTTTGTAATAACTTTACATAAATTGACTGTCAATGTAGTGAATGGAAAGTTGGAAACCGATAATTTTAGAAAAATAAAGAAACAATTAATTTTATTTAAACTAAATATGAGCTAGTTGTGTAATAAATAATAACTAGAACTTGTTCTTTATATACTGTACGGATGTGCAGAATATATAATATTTTCTTTTAAGTATATACGTGATAAAAAATTCTTGTTGTCTACTTAAAAACTAATAATTTATTAAATAGTTAAAAATTACTAAAATTTTTATTATTCTATTTAATAAAAAAATTCATCACATATTATATTAAATAAAATGTTTATTTAACAATTGATATATTTATAAATGTAGATATAGTACAAATAAAGGATGAAAAAAATAAATGAGATTAAATGAAAACAATATTTTATTAAACCTTCCTAATGTTTGGACTTATTTTCTAAATATTATTCATGTAAATAAATATTAAGTATTGTTAATCAAATATAAAAGATATCAAACTAAATAATTTTTTTGCTATAAAAATTAAATAAATTTTATTTTAATGTTATTTTTATTGAGACATGTAATGATAATTTTAAATCTATATGGAAAATATACAAACTAGTCATTACATTAATTTATATTTATATTTAAGATATAAATAAATATATAAAGTAAAATAGATTCTTTTTACAAGTGAGTAAGGGCACACAGTAAAAAAATTATGTAATATTTTTTTTTTTTTTGTAAAAATCAGAAGATATCACAAGATCTAATACTTTGATAATTTTAAATGTTATATTTTTAATAAAAAATTGATATTTATTAATTTCTGACATGTACATATTTGAAAAATTAACTGTAAATAAGATTTTTTATTGTAAATTTTTGGAAAAATGAGAAAATACCAAAATTAAACTTACAAGGTAAGAATATAAAACAATTAAGAAATACATAGATATTAAAAAAATCACACTTTGAAAAAAAAATGTTATATAATATTTTTCTGAAGTACCAAAGATAATTATTCTTTTTCAAAGCTTATTTCACACACAACTTGAAATTAAATCTCTATTTAAAAACTATACTATCTCTCAACTATAACAGATTTTATTAGTTATTATGTAATATTTGTTTTATAAAAGAACTTTAATATATTACATAAATAAGTTAAAAACTATATTTTGCAACTAAAAGTGCCGTAATTGATCTGCCAAGTTGTTAATTCCTGCTCTTGCAGCTATATATGAGTACAAGCCAAAACCCAAAACATAAAATCCACTTACAAAATGTCACAAATGGAATAGACCCAATAGTCAAATTCCATATGCTGATAGAGACTAACGTGTTTACACAACAGTCCTATATTTTGGAATGAATTATATGAACAAATTGCAAAATTTTTCTTATTAATTTTTATTAGTGCACATCTTTTTTATTATTTTTTCATCTCATATAAAATAAATTTATTTTATTTTATTTAATATAAAAATATACATATATAAGTTAACCATTAATTTTGACAAGATTTAATGAGTCTATTAAATGTGGTTATGTTACACATAAATGTAATTTTGCAGATGAGTAAAGTTTTTATTCAATATTGAAATAAATAACATTAAGTGTACGTGTGTTTGAAAATTGATACAACAAATTGTTTTGACGATTTTTTCAAATTTTATGCATTGATAAAACTTTTTAATTAAAATACTGGTTAATTTTCATTCAAAAGTTTTTATTATAAATTTGAAAGTTAGACTGTTAATTTGGACAACATAATAAAGATTTCAGTGAAATTCAATTTCATTATCACTTTTCATTTTTTTTTCACAAAAGAAGTCTTGAAAAAATAGAAAGAATAGAAAATGAAAAAAGGGTTAAAACACAATTATAAATTTTAATTTTAATTTTTATAAAATATAAAAATGATCTTCATGAGATTATTTCCGTAAAATATTATTTCAATAATTCTTAAGAAAGCATATTATTAATGACATGAAAAGAAATTAATACAAATATTTAATTTTTATTAAGTCATATAATGAATGTATTTAAGCCCTTCAAATTTTGTAAGAATAATAGTAAATTTTTTTGCTATTATATAGTAATATTTTTATGTAATAATAATATAAAGATCATATCTATTCTAACTGGTTGAAAAAAATTAAACTCACCAAATTTTATTATTTATGTTTTATAACATTAATATGAAGTTAAAAAATTAATTGCAAAGACTTTGGTTTTGATACACTTTTAAGTATATTTTATACTATCAATCAATTGAAAATCATTGGAGATATAATTTTTAAAGTAATTATATAAAATTTAATAATTTTTAATTGTGGTAATTTATAATTAAATGTTAATATAAAACATTTTATATTTTTAGTATAATTCAATGAAATTCTATTATGAATAAATATTTTTCTTTATAGTATAATTTTTTGTCTAAACTTTTAATTTAATGCTTTAAAAATTCACTTAATGTTAATTTGATCATTTAAATATTTATATACTAAGCATAGTTTTTATAATTGAATTGATCATTAAATCACTCAAGACATCGATTTAAATTTTAATGATCAATTGGCCATTAAAGTTTTTTAAATTATATAACATACAAATATTATATATAAAAAAAACCACAGAAACTATTTAACGTATAGAAAACGTAAAATTTACGATGGCACACAACGTACTCTGATTGAAGAAGGAAATCAGAGGCAAGACGCAACGCGTGGCCTTAAAATTCACATAACATTTAAGGGCAAAGACATTCCTACCAAATGACATAACATCCTCACACCAAAAACATTTCAGACAACAAATATTAGTAAATATGAGATGAATATTCTCGTACAATTTAAAATCTTTTACATTTTATCTGAACGTAAAATAATAAATTATAATTTATTAAATATATTAAATAAAAAATTCAAATTAAATATAAAAATTTCTACACTAATAAAAAATTATGTTCTTAATAAATAACATATGTCATTGAAAATGTAAATGACGTGGCAACTTTGAATCAAATAATGTCTATATAATCTACATAATAATATGTATACTCTGAACAAAAAAATTAATTTAATCTATCAAAATGTAATTATATTACTTTAATATTTTTACCTCAGAAAATGATGTATTTTAATTTTTTAATACAGAATATAAAAAATAAAAATAAATTTTATAAACTTATATACAATAATTAAAATATTCTAGACTTAAAATATGTGTATGATACGTTTCATCTCCCAATATCTGAACGTTGCGTTTCATCATCCCCAGAGATCCACCCCGTAACTACAATCCTTTTTAACAATCCTAGCCCGCGCAGTTAACTGATCCACCGTCACATCACAGTCAACTTTAACGTTGATCTTCCACATCTTAACGATCCCCAATTTAATTCTCACCGGTGCCCTCAGCTTCAACGTAAACGGCACGCTCTGTTCTATCACGGCGTTCACCAACGCCACCCGGTCCGACGCCGTGAGTTCAATGCCGTCACCCTTTAATACCGTGTCGAACACTGTCACGTTATTTGACGGCTGATAAAACACGGGCAACGCGCCGTCACAGAGCCTAACGTCATTATAGAACATTTCGACGGAGCTTCCCTCCTCGTAATAAATTCCGATCTTCGCGTTACCGTTATCGGCCCTAACAGCGACGTCAAACTCCGGCGATATCGCCGCCGAGAACGACGGCGACGTGAGGTTCATTCCCTTGACAGCAACGCTTTCGATGGCGTAATCCGGTGCCTTTGGCCGGAAAATTAAGTATAAAACGCCGGCGGCGATGCCGATGAGTACGACGAGGGCGAAGACGATGGAGATGAACCAACAGAGGCAACAACAGCACCGGAACGGGCGATTTTTCCGGCGAGTGTACTCTTCGTACAGACGAGCGTTCTCTGGCGGAGGCAGACGGTAGACTTGGTTCTTGGGGATTTGGACGACGTAGGTTCCCGTCGGCGCCGAGGGATTCGAGGAGACAGTGGCTTCATGAGACGGCATCGTTTTAAACTCGCCGTAAAGTGGGGGCGAGTCTTTGGGGTAAACTCGGTCGTTCATTGGGTGAGTCACTGAGTGACGAGTTACGAGTTGTTTTCAGGAATTGAAATGAATAGTGAGTGTGTAGATGCAGTGTTTTTTAGTTGCGAGCTTGTTAAGTAGCAGGGGGAAGGAGAAGCGTGTCGTGTCGTGTCGTGTCCGCGTAAGATAGGGGCATATGTGGAATTTCCACTGTACTATTGTTTTCAATATGCTTTTGTTTTGTCTTTATTTTTTCTTTTCCAAATTTTGATTCATATAAAAATCGAAGAAGAGTTAATTAAACGTTGACTTCGACACAAATTTTGATTCCATGCTTTAATTTTTGTGTTTCAATTCCTGTCACTTTAATATTTCGTATTCATTTTAATTATTTTTTTATTAAAATTAAGCTTTCATTTTTTATTTTATTATAATTAAGAAAATATGCCATAATATTATTTTATATATTGATGATAAAAAAATATCAAATATTTAAATAAAACATAAAAATAAATTTAATGCCACTTTATATTTTTCATTAATTAATAAATAAAATAAATTTAAATTTATTTTAAAAATTAAAATAACAATAAAATTGTGCATAAATAATTAAAAATATAGAGCCTAAATTAGACATAAGTTAAAATAGGAAGCCTGAAAATGCAAGAAAATCTTAAGGATTTTTTTATTTAAAAATTTATACATTTTTTATTCTATTATTTTATTAAATTTTTTACAATCAATTTTTTATTAAAACATTTTTTCAATAAGTGATCTTTTCATTAATTTTAAATTTTTCTTTTATCTCTTTAAATTATAAATATATTATACATTTTTCATTTAATCTTAAATTAGGGATTTGATGAAGACTTCATCGTATGTAAAAATAAATAAATAAAAATTTGATGATATTGAAAATAACTAAAATAAATGGAAATTATGCTTCACGAAAAAAATAAAAACAAAAATACTGAGAAATTATTTGAACAGAAAAATATTAAAAAATTCATTTAAAAATTTAATTTGATTGACTAATTAGAAAAAAAAATCACTAACCAAATTGTTAAGGATGCTAATTAAGAAATTAATAAATATTTTTAAAAAAAAAAATTACATTTAGTACATTAAAATAATAGAGTGAATTTATGATTGTCTTTATAATAAAAACAGATTTTTAATTCTTTTATCAATACTTTACGACACAGATTACTAATTTCTTAAAAAAATAAATTTTTAAAATATTAAAAATTAAACAATAAAAGAAAGATACCATAGTGTTCATCAAAATCTCAAGTCAACAAGATAATAACTAGTGAGCGAAAACTTTAATGCATTGCACCACAGTTCACAGAATCATTTTAAAATCTACGGAAGTTTTCATTTATTTGCAATTATCTCGTTTTCTTAATTTTTGTTCTCGGAAAAAAGTGTAATTATTTTAAGAATTTACTATATATCGAATGCAATGTTTAGAAAAATCAAATCAACAACTGATTAAACATTTAATTCACAGTCGAATGGTTAATTGTAATTAGCAACACTATCATAAAATATGAAGAATTGAATTGTACACAAGCAGAATTAAAGTAAAAAGAAAATTATTTGCAATATTATTTTACAGTCAAAGTAAAAAAAAAACATTACTTTTGCAACTTTATACGATTGGATGGAGATACCAACACAAATACAATAATAAATAATATAGTAAAATTTATGATGAATAATAACAAATATTGCTATAAATAAAAATAATAAGAAAAAAGTAAGCACTAAATTGTTTAATGTAGAAAATTATTTCATTGTGAAATATAAAAGTTATGAATTGTCTAAACCAAAAAAATAATTTTACTATGATCAAATAAAGATACAAGAGAGACAAACAATTGTACAATCCACTTTTACTAACCAATTAAACTCAGCAACATAACTTACAAAATTAAAAATTAAGAAAATATAAATACCTAAAAAATAGAGTTATTGTGAAAATACTATTAATCCATCCTAACTTTTATTTCAGCGATTTGACCATTTAAAATAAAGAATCACATATCGTGAAATTTCTATCAAATTTTCACGTTGCTCTAACCATAAACAACTTTGTAAACAAAAATTTATCAAAAATATTCTAAACTTATGCGGGAATGACTTTCTCTTCTTTTACAAAAGTGTATGCTTTTTCACTTTATACCTCTCTCATAATCTTAAAAACTTATCTTCACTTTTGTAGATGAGACAAAGTGAGTTTTCTTATTTTGAGTCTTTTCTTCACATAGGATAAGAACACAATATTTAACATATCTCTCTTTTGCAACTACGTGGAAATGACTGTCAATTTGGTAATCTCACAACAAGTTTCAAACTTTTTATACTACTATCTCAGAGTCTGGTTTAAATCATATAAGCTCTTTTTCAGTTTACACACATAGTCTTTCTTGTCTTTTAACTTGAAAGTCATCACATCTCGTTTATACAAATATCCCACAAAATCACTATAAAGGAATAGTTTGTTTGTCCATTTGCTCTACCTCCAAATCAAGAGTAGTAATCAATATCAAAACAATTCTAATAAATGAGAACTTCACTACAAGTTAGAAAATCTCATTAAAATTAATACTTTATTATCTATTTGAAACCTGTCATCACTAATCTAACTTTATTCCTTAGAGATGTAAAATTACTCTTATTTTTCACCTTGAATATTTGCATAGACAATTTTATTAAATCATAAGTGTGATTATCATGTAAGGATATCATCTCATTTTGCATTGCATTTAACCACTGTTGTTTTCCTTGTCATTTTAATATTTCATATTCATTTTTATTATTTTTATGTTAAAATTAAGACTTTCATTTTCTATTTTATTTAGTAATTAAGAAACTATAACATAATATTACCTTATATATTGATAATAAAAATATCAAATATTTAATGAAAACATATAAATAAAAAATTATTATGCTTCATATATTTTTGTTTTCTATTTACCTTTTTATGGTTTTTTTTTACATTAACATGTAAAAATTAATGTCACTTGTTTACAAAAAAATAAATAAATTTAATGCCACTTGATATTATTATTAATAAATAAATAAAATAAAATAAAATTTATTTATAATAATTAAAAATTTGAAAACTGTGCATAAATAATTTAAATTATAGAGACTAAATTAGACATAAGCTAAAATAAGAAGACTGAAAATACAATAAAATTTTAAGGTTTTTGTTATTTAAAAATTTATACATTTAATTTATTATCTTATTTTATTAATTCTTTTACAATAAATGTTTCATTAAAATACTTTTTTAAATAAGTGATGATCGACAATGAAAGTTTTTAAAAAATATTATTTAAGAATATATATATTTTTAAATTAGAGAAATAATCATGTTTGTTAAATCTTTAAGAGTTATTTACATATAAAGAAGTCATTTACGTATAAAGAAGGTAGTAATACTCTACTATGTTTGTTTAAATAAAATTATCATAAATTAATTATACAAATTTATTATAATTTCAAAAATATTTGTTTAATAATTGAACAATAATTTTTAATATCTTTTTTTTATCTTCTCTTTTTTCAAAAAAATATGTTAAAAATATAATTGATATTATAGAAAAGAGAAAAAATAATTTTAAAAATAATTTTAATTTGATGAGCATAATTCTCGTTCCTATGTATCCATTTTGAAATATATACGATTTTAAAGAAAAATTTATAAGATTTTAAAAAATATTATTTTGATTTATTTTTTTAAAAAATAAAATAATATATTTTAGGATACAAGATAATAAGGCTATGTATGTTACCTTACGGTTAACAACACAAAATGCGAAAGAAAATCATATATTCGTAAATTATTGCTAGATGGTTTTTAATTTAAAATTTAATATTAAATTTTTTTAAAATAATGTAAGTTATACATAAATCTCTTATTACTTATTCGTCAACTGAAAGTAATATAAATCACACATCGGTATCATAAAATATTGTATAGTAAAATAGAGAAATAAATTTAAGCAATCAAATGTTTAATTATTTAATTTATCAAAACTAAAAATATGACTTAATATTTTTTAAAATATAAAATTAATTGTATTTAATAAAAGAATAAATATTTAAATAAAAAATAAAAATATATTTAAATTAATTAGTAAAGATGATTATTTAACTAACGAAAAAGTAAAATATCATTTAATAAGTTTATATTGTATGAGACCTAAAATAATATTAGTACACATAAATCTTAATGATTTAAAATGTATAAAGGTAGAGATGTTATACGATAACGTTACAAATCGCTGCCTTAATATGATTTAACTTAGTTAATGAATTAGTAAATTAATTTTTTGATAATTAAAGAGAGAAATATTTTACAGAATATATTTTAATTATCTAATTAATTTATAAATAAAAATATGATTTAATTTAAGATAAACTTGTATTATTTATAATTGAAGAAATAAATATTTAAAATAATATATTTTGATTAATAAAGTGGGTATCCAATGAATTAAAAATAAATACACTTTAATTTTTAAAATATTAATATATTGTGTGAGACTTAAAATATATAGGTATACATATGTCTTGACTATTTACAATGCATAAAGGTAAATCTGTTACACGTTAGTATTGTAAATCTTTGAATTAATTAAATGAAATAATTTTAGTTTAATTAATAAATCAATAAATAAATTATATTTGATTATAAAATAGAGAAATATTTAAGAGAGTATGTTTTGATTAATTAATAAAATAAAATTAAAGAAAATATACTTAAATTAATAAAATATATAATTAACTGGAGATAAATATGATTGTCGTAAAAATTTATATTATTTAATAATTTAATATATGAATATTTAGATAATAAACTTTAATTAAATAAAATAATTATATAATTGATTAATTTTGGAAGCAAAATTTAACTTTTAAGTACATTATTGATGCATAAGACCTAAGGTATGTTTTGACAATTAATAATACATAAAAATAAAGTTGTTACACATCAATATTATAAATTGTATTAATAAAATTATTTTGATTTAATTTAGTTAAATGATTAATAGTTTGATAATAAAAATTAACATAACATATTT